AATAATATTTTCATATTAAATAATAAATAATATAACATTTTAATACATATAATATAATAGACATTCAAAAATAGATATGGAGGAAAATGTTCGAATCAAAAAATATAACTGGGGAAGATGTTCAACTATACTGAAAACAGTCAAAGGGAATATTCATTTACYTTTTTACCTAACATAATAATAAAACATTAAATATCTTTACTTTAATTTTCTTCTTTTTTTAGAATACTTTTAACAATTCTACCAAATAGTTCAAACATGAATATTAATTGTAATATGAATACTTTTGAATACTATTGGCCGTGTTTATGCCGGCCAGCCACCCGGCGTGGTCTATGAGCGCAATTTCCACAGAGAACCAAATTATTTATGTGAATTTATTTGATAACATTTTTATGAGTTTCAATCTGTAACATATAGTTAACGTAAGATGACTATTGCAAATTAATAAGGAATAGACAATAAATTACTATCAAAATATAAATTCATCTATAAAGATAAACTTMGTAAAATTTGCCCCCATGGGTCAATTATTTTTATCATGGTACTTAGTGACAATTTAGTAAAATTCAAGGTTAAATTATTAATGGTATTTTTAGAATGAAAATGATAAAAGTTTTATTAGTTTTTTAAAAATATATTTAAATGTATTATTATAATATATTATTGAATATTGATAAATCTATATTTATTTACTAATTAATAAGTCAATAAAATTTTCTATTTCTCTTAAAACTTCATTTATTTAGGTCATTAATATATTWTATTATATTTGGTAATCCTAATAATTATGTTAGATACGATTTCTGTTTAATAATTTTGTTTTAGAAATAATAAACCATCACATTGTACGGTGTTTACATAGTAATTTATTGTCCTGATAAAAAGTAGTAGAGTATTAAAATCTCTACCACAAGCCATAAACTATAATTACAGTGTTCGAATTGGTGGCAATACGATGGACTGAGTAGAGTCTACTCAGTAGACGGTAACCAATTTTCGCAGATGTTGGCATACCCCTAATTTTTTTTTCAATTAAACCGCATGATAATATGTTTTCTTTTTTGTACTTGTCGTCCATCTTCAAATGCACAAGATACCAGGTATACCTTACGAAATGTCATCTTAATTCATTAATAATAGTGATTTATTAAAAAAAAAATATCCGTTCAAGTAGCTGATTTATCGAAATGCCTCGGTAACATTGCTAATGACTGTGGTTTTAATTATAGTTTCATAATTTTATATATATTTCAATTTCACTATAAATATATAAGACGAAAATGGTTTTAGGATCTCCTGACTGAATAAAACCCATTCACAACTTCAAGAAGTCACATCGCTGGATGGACTCTTCACTCAAATCATCAGTCCCTCTTATTTTATTTTTATTTTATTT